CTGAAGATTGCATTCGTGTGCATGCGGACCAGAAAGCGCTGCAGACGGAGGACGGAACCACATTGAGCCAAGAAAACAGAAGCGACCATCACGATCAAGCGCGAGACTAAATGTATGCCAGACAGATTCGAAACCAGAATATCAGCTGAGTGCGTTGACAAGAGCGTGTGTGATCAGGCCAGCTTTCGCCGAAATTGACTGAAGTTGACGGTACCAACAGAGTAACGGTCGGAGGCGTGGGCTCAGGATACTAAAAAATCAAAAAAAGAGAAAAGGTGTGGCATTCATGTAGTATAGGGATAGTCCTACACCGTATCCGTTGTTGATTGCGCGGTTAGTCGCGAAAGCGAACGGATAAGCATACTCGGTGACCAGAACGTGAGACGGTAGTCTCGTTCGTGTTTCATGAGTCTGCTATATCAATCATCATTCAAGGGCGGCGTGGTCTGCTGATCTGAATGTGAAACTGAAGTCTCGTCCGTAGATGATGCGGGCGACACGTGTTGTTGACTGAGACGTGAGAATGAGGTCTCTGAAGTTTATAGAGTAGATGCAGAGACCCCGCTAGTAGGTTTGATGGGTCTATCATTGGATCTCAACTTATCAGGTAGGGCACTATAATCGACGTGTGCTCTCTTGCGACGATCAATGCTGACGACCTCGACGCGGCCATGTCGATCAACCTTGAAGGTCTTTTCGTGACAAGAAATCACGTGAAAATGTCCTTCGTAAGGCTGTTGCAGATGTTTGCGAACCGAATCTACTCGTATAAAAACATGTGAACAGGTAGATAACTTTGGGGGGAGAGTGACCTGTCGATGTTGGATTCGAGTTGACACCGGAGAGTGTTCGCACAAATTCAGACAGTCGTTGGACGTAGTCTGATTTACCAAAATCCACCGATACCAAGACCAAATCTCTCGAACAGTCCTTCACCAGCACGTATTAGTGTGAATGGTAGAAAGCAGATTTAGGCGTGTTATATGTCACAGGTACATATTAGCACAGAAGTTAAACTCCGTTTCGCGAAATTGAAACCGATGTCTATATAACACTTCAGTGGTCTATCCTGAGAGATGATACTTCTTTGGCTCTGATGAGGGTGGATCACAAGTAGGTGGGTGGAACATACAACATGAATCATCAGGATGTAGTGAACAATACCATTGTTCTCCTGGCAGGTTTACGTGAAACATTGTCAAAGCTGCTGAGAAAAGGCATTCCTGAGTTAAATGAACTGATATGGGAAGCCAATCAGAAGTGGTCAAACGAGAACTTGTGTTCACCAGCATATACTTACCAATACAACCGTGGTCCTCAAAACCTCAACTCTGCGTGACTTGGGCCACGTCAACAGGGTTCGAAGAAATCGAGAGTCACTTTCTAAAGAGCTTAACGATCCAGGTCACGGATGGAAATCAGTAAATGAATAGTTTGCTCTACCGACCTTTAGGACTGTCTGATCGGCCAAAAAAATTCACAAGAATACAAACCTAAGTCTAACTTCCAAACAGTAAGAACCCCAACATCAACGTGCCCGAAAAAGTGAGAAACTGATCAACCTTCGTAACGATCCCTCAATAATCATGAACCAAAAAAACATTACTCACTTTCCTATCGGCCAGTACGACAAAACACCAACAAACACTAAGAAAATCCAAAAGAAATGCATAAACGTTCCATTTCTAAGGAATCGCGTGAGTCGTTCCTTCGCAAAGGAAACATCATTGTCTGTGATTTCTCAGGTAAGACGAATCCTGATTATGCAAACTGTGATATTCTACGGTGAAGGTTCACAAAGCAGTTCTTGACCCAGCGAATTGTACGACTAGCCAGGAAACATAAAAGTTCTAAATCCCGGCCTACAGAGATAACCGATGGAGCTCACCTAAGGCAAACTACATTTAACGGTGGACAATCCAATGCCTAACCTTAGGAACAAATAACCAATTGGCATCCAGTTTCCATGTAACAAACCACAAATATTTAACCCTTAAATAACCTTTGTAATTTCATATTTCACACGCTGCACTCTCAACTCCATGCTTTATTCATTTTCTATTGTTATTTACTTCGTATTCCCTCCTTACAACTGATAAATAACTGTATCTTGAAATTTCTTTTGATCTCCACAGGTACTGATGCTGTTACACACATTGGGCCTTAGAAATGCAATGGACCAGAACCTAGTAAAACTTGATGCAACTAGAAACTTCTCCAGTGGAAAAGCACGAACACTCAGAAACCATCCATAATTACCACAGTCAACCATAACGATGGTCCAACCATTGCAGAACAGATCTTTTTTATTCTAGAATCACGAGAGATAAGCCCTCTCAAAAACATCCACGTGCACGCGATATATTTTTGCCATATGATGACAAGTGAAGAGCATATATGGTCACATACATACAATGATTTACCTATCTCGACTATTTGACAGGACCACAATCTCGCACCTTCAAAACATATTTAATTACATATTATGAATAGTTATGCTTATGGTTTTACATGCTATTAGGAGAGCCTAATATTAGCAAAGTAGGGATGATGGCGTTACTGACTAGCAAATGCGATGGCAGGTAAATAACTTCAATCCGCCCATGTCTGTTGGGCAAGACATTTTGTTAAATTACAGCTCCTCATAGTCTACTGGGATGTTGAGAACCAATGATGTTGATGCTAATTTCTCAAGTCGTGTCGTGCCAGTTGGTATTCGAACACTGTATTTCCTTAATTTTAACAATACACACATCAAAGTTTCAATCATTCTGAATCATCCTCGTTTACACGATCCTCCGTTCATGAAAGGATACACTCTGTCTTGTTTTCTTTAGCCTGATGAAATATACCTAATTAGAAATTTTCCTTATAAAAAAGGTAAGTTGAAGTGGTCATACCTCAGTTATTCAGTCACAAATGACTAAACTTCACTAGTCACGCACGCTATCCGTCCTGCTTTTCGCACTTCCATTTTTTTCTCTTTTTCAGCACCTTCATGGTATGCCACCGAAGTCATATGTTTCACATATAACTTCGTATTGAGTTGTTACCAATTCGTCCGGAATTTATCTGGTATCATTATCAAGAAAGCGCATAGTAATACGTCAAAGAGAAAGTTTTTGACTATCTGCTCTGAGATTAAGTTTTATTCATTCTTGACCACAATCCGCTTGTCGCGACACGAACTTCATAAGGCACACCAACTTTCATATTGAGAATTACAGTCTTATAATTATTAACATTCGAACGTATGAAAATGCATCCTCTGTTTCCATGGACAATGTGCCTTACAACGTATAAACTTAGTTGAGTAACTTACTAAAGCCTGTAGCGTTTGTAACGATATGGTCTTACCTGTAGACTGACATAACTCATGTAATACGTTGTTGTCTGAGAATACATATTATAATCTTCTTTAAAAGTGATTGCCACTCTTGAATCATTTCGTGAAAACACACACCGGTTACCAGGTAAATTCTACATGCATCCGGAGAAACCAAATACTGAGAGGATTAGACACTTGTGGGCTGTCAAGTATAAGCAAAACATATGGAATCGACATGGACTTCCCAATCGGAATACTTTGTACAGGCAGATTGCCTGTCCATTCACATAATGCTCCTTCAGACAAACAGGGAGTGAGAGCTCACGAGTTTCAAATCAAAAGCATAAACCGCCTACATACGTACGCCTCGACTTTACTGGATAAAAGGGATGAGTTGCATGAAGTAAGTAACTCGAATAGAATTCACCTGGTAGAAAATATCTGAACCATGGGCAACTTCACAGATTACTGGTAGGAGCTGGCAATACTCGAGATATCTTTATTCTGCAATGACACAAAAACGGAAATGGGAGACGGAACCGCCTTGTACTTACGATCTTGCCTGGTAACATACCTAAGTATACACTCAGGAGTTTATCAATTTTGATGAATCTGTATGGTGCTCCGTTAGACTTTCTAGCAATTCAGGTAACTCTCTTCTAGAGACCAGGTTGACAATGACCTAGGAGTCTTTGTACGCTATGATTGACCGTCTTACACCAACTCCGACAAAAACGCCTTTCGAGCAAATTGCACACTGGGGATGTTGAAGCGCATTTTTGCCCAGTTAGACGGTAACAGTTTCCAGTAAATTTCTGACGGTTTTATCACACACTATTTAGAGTGCGACATAATAACCTTTTTCCCCCACCCTATAAGGCCGAAAATACTTCGAGGTGTATTCGAAGTTTAGCCACGATATCATTCATGGGACTCGAACTAGGACAAATCACAAATCACTCTATCTCTGCCCAAAAGAGTATAAGCGTCTCCATAGGGGCCGTTTGATGTTTATTCCGGTGCAATTATGACCCCCAGAACCCCTACATTAGGTGACTGAGCCGTCGTCAACAGGATTGAAAGGGGTCGGAGGTCACCACCGGAGATGCTGAACTGCCCAATGACTCATAAAATCCAAAACAGTCCACGATATCCCTCTCCATTCTTACTTGGGCTCAATCCGAACACAAACCTTGGAATCACAGCGTGGCGAAATGGACTGTAAGCGAACTTTCCAAGTTCCACTAGTGGTGGAATTTCGGAATTCGCTCTCGGCTGAGACCGTCCAAGCGACTAACCCAGTGTTCTTCAAAAGGAGGCTCAACATATTCTCGAGGACTCAGGATATAAATTCGCTATGATTTACTAATAACTGTCTTTCTGTCAATAAATATACTTTGGTTCCTATCTAAAGGCATCGGTGATTCATTCATACTAGATACGGAAGCATGGTAAGCGAAATCTATTCCATCCACAACATTTTGAACCCTCTTTCTTCCCTAGTATGTTGTTGAAGTTCCTTATGGACGTTTCCGTATCACCCGAAGGTCGTCAATAAATTGCGGTCTCGCCCTCCATTGTCCCACAGCGAGCTTAAATGTTCGAAAGTTTAACACCCGTAATGTTAGGGTCTGTTATTTAAAGGCGCAATATATGTATTGAGCGGTGCCAAATGTCTTTGACCTTCAACCTGGATGATCATGTTCCCGAGCCTTCCACTTCTGTAGAAGAATTGAACAAAGAATTAACTAGAATGCGTAAAATAGTGCGAGCTGCTAAGGTATAATGTAAAGTATTTTCTAAAACTCAGGTGTATGCATTCCGAGATTTGATGCGGAACGTCAAAGAATTACGAGAACAGATGTCTCGTCTTGGAGGGTGCAGACGATTAGAAAGCAAAATAGAACACAGAATTTCTGATATAAAGCTCCTGCACAACCTCTCGGTCGTCCGTTTATGTAAACGGTTATTGGCAGACGAACATGATAAAAAGCACGTATGTCCTCAGATACCTTTTTAAAGTAGGTTAAACATGAGACCGATGTCCATTCCGAGTTCCTTCCTACCTCGCAAAATTTATTCTCTAAGACACGGCTTAAAGGTTTCTTCAGAGTTATATGCTACGCCGCTAAACCGTACTGATTTCAATAATTTAGATTTGGAAGCTCATATGTTTAATGTGTGATTCTATGTTGCTTTTTATAGTTACGTAATGAAAACTTATGCAAACAGTGTAAGAATCCAAGTGTAGAGACGAACATTCAATTTCCACGCGTTCCTGTATGCTTTACTAGTACTCAACTACCATGTTAAAGATAAACATAGATATCTCTAGTACTCATTTGTCTCAAATGTAAATGTTCTTGGGGTTTTCAAATATTTCAGATAGAATGATTCGACCACTGAAATTGTTCTTTATCCTTAGAAAGTGAAAGTTTCGGCAAGACTATGATTTATGGACGAACCAGTCCAATTTACGATAACAGGTCTTAGACTTCTGTGCAAAATTCATTCACTTATTTGTTTAAATAGCGTTTCGGCATTTTAGCTTATGAAAACAATAAGTCTAATTCCTAACCCTAACCATCAACTGTAGATCGTAATCCCTATTCTTCACACTGCTTTACAACCCTGAGTTAGCCTTAGTAAGCAGGTAGACATCCTCATGGTCACTATAGCACTATTCAGAGGTCGTCCATAAATTATAGTCTCGTCAAGTTTTTATTCTATTTATTGTTTTTGAAATATATCTCATTTTAATATGACTACTCATTAGATAAGTTTCACTTCTCTATCTTTATTTCATACACATTCAAAGATTTTGGTCGGAAATCCAAAATATACTTAGTTTGTGTTTTCATTCGCCTAGAAATCTAAATGAGTTTCATCATCAGCCACACCTCATTTCTCGATCTTAGTCAGTTGTTGTGCTTGCTGCTAATTTCATCACACATATATTCTATGTACGTGCTTTGTAAAGCCGTCTAGGCAGCAAATTCATTAGTCTTTTAATTAGATTAAATGAATCTATTGAAAATGGTCTGAGATTTGCGTTTCTACTAACCCATTGTGCCTCCTGATATCTTTTCTTAAAGCTTTTCTGTTTACTCACTTAACACTAAACTCGATACATAAGTATGTAAGGAATTTAAAGGTGACTCACCCAGCGAGACGCTTAAGTTGGGCAGATCAATTTAGAAAACTTGTAGTGTAGGCAAGCTATAGATGATGTTTTCTACACATCCGGCGGTCATTGATAGATAAAAGTTTTAGACTAGCTACCCTTTTTCCTGTCTACCGATTCATCTGCTCTAGTGGAGGAACTTGTATTAGATTGCCCACAAACTTTTTTCGTGCTCACGTGTTTAGACATGTCTATTCTGATCAGTAGTCTCAATCTCACTTAACGCTAAAATTTATATACTTCATATTATTCATATCAGTAGCCTTGAGTGCTGTTAGAGGTATGAGGACGGTTATCGATTCCCAGTGGTCCACATCGTGAAAGGGTTCTAGAGGCACCCAAAAATGAAATTGGGTTAGAGTTAGTCTTAGTGACCTGAAAGCGTGACCGCAGTGCCCAAGGGACAACTGCTTGAGACCGGTCACGCAGGACCTTTTTGTGAGTAATTTTCGTGTTAGCTCTGTACTTGTTGAGACCTTACCGGCAGAGATTAAACTCCGTGAGGTAGGTCAGGGAGTGAATTTTTAAGGTCAGCAGTACGACTTCTTCCTCGAACATTGGGTTTGCTGCTTTTAGTCTTACCGCTCTTCAACCGACCTGCCTGGCATGGTAGGACCTTGATGAACGATTGTTCCAGCAAGTATAGCTCGGTTCCTCGAGATAGGTAAGCCCAGCCACCACGTCAAGATAACACCAACGGTCGGGACCAACATTAACAATGTTATTTTATAATCCAATAATTTTAAACGATATATTTCCTTTAAACCTGATCACTTTTTGGATTACTAGTTTGGATTTATAACCGTAGAACTTGAAGATGATTTATTGAAAAGAATATTCTTCGTTCATATATCTGATTTTAATATAACTGGAATTTTTCGATGACTAAAATATGTAGCTGTTGATTGGAAGCCTGACCATTGCTTTTACCTTGACGTGATGGTTGGGCTAACCTATCGTGATGAACCAATCGGGATATACACACTGGGATTAGAAATGGTCAACCCTAAAAATTCACTCCTTGACCTACCTCATCTTGTCGTGCTACTGAGGCTTGGCAACTTGGACCGATGCATATATGTGCTTGGCCCTACGTTATAGGCTGATTGACTAAATTCATTGGAAGGAATTCAGTGGCGGGAGGGTGTGTGGATATTCGTGATTATCGATTTATTGCACAGTAGTATAAAAAATAATCATTCATATTATTCTTACTAGCTTCAGAAATATGGACATATTCTCACTCAAGAAGACCGTTTAGTTATACGTCTCAAATCATCGAAACCTGTATCAGCCTTCATCAAATCATTTCGTGAAAAACATGAGGACTGGATTAGTCTGGTTCATTATTTGGTTTACAAAAATGTGTCAGGTAAATGGAAGTCAAGAGAGCAGAAACGTCGAAATAGGAAAGTTCGTGGATCCTTACCATTACCTCCTGCGCCTGTTAAGGAAACAGGATTTAGTATTCCGGAGGATCAAAGGTAAAGCTTTATTTAGTTAGATATTTCAACCATTAAAGTAATGAGATTATTTTTTATTGTGTTATCATTTCAGTTCACACATAAAATGTTTGCTCTAATTAATTATTTGTACAGGCAATTTTATGTTATATACACCAGTATTTCACTAACATTGTCCGATTTTATTCAACGTAGATTGAACTTTTATGAATCTTGCTTGTCGAATCATGTATTCCAAAATCAATTATATATGAATTTATGTTTAGGTAAATTACAAGCAAATATTCCAAACCTTATCCGACTGATGAAGTCGTTTGATTTTCAAGATAAACTGATGAATTTAACTGCATTGAGTACTCAAGCATCGCTTGTATTAATAGAAATGTCTATAGTTTGCCACATTAAATTCACAGATCTTTGCAGTACTGTCATTTTGAAGACAAAAAAAAACATCAAAAAAGCTGGAAAAGTCCTGCTGTAATCATGATGTCAATTCATTCCTGATCAATCGTGATAGATATCACTAATTTGTCCTTGATTATATTGTGTGCTCATGAAAAGGGAGCACTTTCTGTGGGTTTTAATTTTTCTATCCCTACAGAACAAATGTTTGAACTGTCAATCAGTGTCCAATTCGGAAACCCCTATAATCAAATGGATACCTTCGGCCATATATCCTTAAAGAATCAAAGTTAGTGTAAAGCTAAACCTTTAGATATAACGCACCATTCTCATGTTCCTTGACAAAATCAGAGAAGCATATCAACTTCTCATAATTTCAAATCATTAAAAAGTTTGCAACAGTGCTGAAATTATTCTTGTTAAACCTGATACGACATCATGTGTTGTTGTTACTAATTAATGCGGTTACGGGAATATGATGGTAGCCATTCTCAGTGACGAGAGTAAATTTATGGCCTATGTTAACTCTGAAGGATTATGCAAATTATAAAGGAAAATCGACTCGAATTTAATGGAATTTCTTAACATGAATGCTATTAACAAATAGGAATCTAATTTGTTAAAACCTATGTGTCCAATATATCCTCATTTATATAGACTTTCAAGAATTCATAAGCTTAATACCCCCTTACGTTTAATCTTGTCTGTATAAAAGCCACCTACACATAATCTTGCGAAAAGGGTAATGAAAGTGTTCACTCGTATTCTAAACTAATTTTTACTAGTATTTTTTGGAAGGTTCATTCGAATTAATTAATTACTTGATGGATATCAGTATTAGTACTAAGGCAATGTAATCACTTGGTGTAAACACTTTATATACAAATGTACCTCTTAGGAAGACTTGATATTTTGTGTGACTCTGTATCATTAAACAATCCTCAGGTCCCATTTCCTGTAAAATCTCTGGAGGATTTATTATTATTGTGTAAAATGCGAACCGTATGTTGCAGGAACTCAACATAACTCAAAAGCACATCTGTTTTACATGAGAAGAAGAGATGAATAACCTACTTCCATCAAACGTTCTGTGTATAGAAAGCCAATACGGATAAGACCACATCTTAGTTTTTATAGTCACTATCCAGTTCAGTATGAACGCGGATGAATAAAACGGTTATTCAATAGGATCAATCGTATTTGAACTAGCGATATTATTGAGGGAGACGATACGCTTTCTACCGTAATATTGGTTAATAACGGTTATTCATCGAAGTTTACAAACTCCTGGATATGTAGCAATATGACCCACGACGTTTTGCACCCAAAAAACTTGTCTATATTACCCTACAATTCAGAGGTAACTCAAATAGTCTCATGTTGTAACGGTGACTTAGATTAACTATAAGACATTTTACGCAGCACAACCGATCACTATCTAAAAGCCAGAGCCTCTGTTTCACCAAAAACCCGAACAGTGTGTAAATGGTCGTGTCACATCCTATTACGTCTGCCGATTTACATGTATATGCGAAAACATATATACAGGAAGGAGTAATCTTGAGTTGTAAGTTACTGTTTGAACACATACCTAAATGGCTACAAAGAAATGTGTTTCAATGGTCGAATAAGGTTACAGGACAGACAAATATATTTCTCAACTTCAAAATATTTGCTTGAAACGGTTCATACAGTTGATATCAAGTCCGCCTTTTTAATGTTATGCAGGAGTTCAGGGCATATACTAAGGTTTATTGAAGTCCTGGCTATACGAAAACTGAAATCATTACATGTTAAAAGCAGTTTGTTCTTAGCCTTAACTTACCCTGGTAATACTTGTTTATTATCTAGCGTGGTTTTGACATTGTGTACTTTATTTTTATTTTTCTAATATATAATATCTTAACTAGTATACATGTGATCAGATTTTTCGAAACTTATTTTACAAATATATCACGTAGTTCTGGTAAACTTCATCGTCTCATCACATTATCCTCTCTTTTATAATTTTAATGTCTGTTTTATGTCATGCTATTTTCAAAGCCGGAGACCTTATCTAAGAAATGTTCTATGTGAATGAAAAGCATCCCGGTTATCATCACCCATCTATTTATGAACTAGTATTCTTAATCGATTATAATTCAGTAGTTCTTGGCACATTGCGAGTTATATTGCGTACATACGAAGAATAGATCTCGCTTTGTATACTTAGCTTAGAGTCATTAAATTTTGTAAAGGTCAAGAAAAACCGTTTGTAGTGATCAAAGAGAATGTTTAATTATTCAAACTAAAGTGGTTATGGTGCAGTTCGAATCCGCGATCATGGCAACTACTTTTCCTAAATATATCGTTAATTACTATTCGTGTCACTGTCTGCTGAAATTGAAGTAGATAGATTAGGCTTTTAAACACATTCTTTCATCTCAGTATTTTTTTAGAATCGCATCTCATGTCAAAATTTCATCTTACTCCTTATTTCTATTAATGTATAAACTTGTTATAAATGACTGAATAACTAATTATCTTCAAGTTCTTTATCATTACATTTTGTTCTGAACCCATTTTCATTTCTTTAGCAACAATCTCTCATCCTATCGTATTCACAACGTATGTTCAGAATCTGAAAGTTGCATAAAAACACTATCAGCGCAACATACTCTTAGTGGTAATAGCATACTCAGTGATACTAATTCAGATATGCCAGAAATAATCACTCGGTTGCTTGAACGAAAAGGTATTAAAAAAAGCGAAGATTCCAATACCATGGATAATCATACGTGTATGACAAATGGATCAATGGAACAAACAGTAAATAAACCAAAGAGAGTAAAACTTCCATTAAAATCTCCTGATGTAAGACTCATTCACCATATTCCTCAATTTTTATTAATATATTAATATATTTTCACAGATAGAAATCATGAGTCAGTTGAAGCTAGACCACCATTGAAAACCTGGAAGCACTGGACGGCCGTTTCGTCCTAGTATGGGACTCCTCAGCAGTGCGCATCCACGATCCCGCACCACGCGGGGCTCGAACCCAGGACCTACTGGCTTCGCGCGCGAGCACTTAACCATTAGACCACTGAGCCGGCATCCAACGGTGTTAATGTCTAACTTCAACTAATCCACGAAGTTGCGCCACCATATACCATTGTCTTCAGTGAGCTGATATCTCACAACAGACCTGGTTGTACTCCACTGGTAACGGCTTCCCACTAGAACTCCAGGAGTATCTCTTGAAGTCAGTCACTAGTGAGCAGATGATTATTATCAGAAGGGGTTTGTGGAGATTTGTAGAAATTTTCACAGATAGACTGACTGACTTCAAGAGATACTCCTGGAGTTCTAGTGGGAAGCCGTTACCAGTGGAGTACAACCAGGTCTGTTGTGAGATATCAGCTCACTGAAGACAATGGTATATGGTGGCGCAACTTCGTGGATTAGTTGAAGTTAGACATTAACACCGTTGGATGCCGGCTCAGTGGTCTAATGGTTAAGTGCTCGCGCGCGAAGCCAGTAGGTCCTGGGTTCGAGCCCCGCGTGGTGCGGGATCGTGGATGCGCACTGCTGAGGAGTCCCATACTAGGACGAAACGGCCGTCCAGTGCTTCCAGGTTTTCAATGGTGGTCTAGCTTCAACTGACTCATGATTTCAATCTGTGAAAATTTCTAAAAATCTCCACAAACCCCTTCTGATATTAATATATCTCTAAGGAAATTCAAGCAATCGTTTCAGTTGGTTTAGCTTTATGACAAAGTTATGAAGATTAAAGGAGAATCTGTGATCGATTGTAGTAGCCATTTGTTAAATATTACAAGAATATTCATTTAACAAAACTATTGGTTCATGCAATTAGAGTGTACATTTATAGGTCACTCATTCACCTTCAAACTACTGCTGTTATAATATAGTGAAGTAAACGTTAGGTTATAAGCTTAACTAGTTTTCGTCTACCATATATCCTTTCAGAATTAAATCTAAACTATTGTTCATCATGATAGACAAAATAAACTCAACTGAAATCAAGTCGTGAAATAGATTACCTTCAAATTGAACAATTTCTGCAAGCCTATGCTGATAATCATGCTCTTATTTGATGGAGTTTACTAAAATCGAGGATGAGACATATCCCCAGTGGTACTTTAGGGTGGCCACATGATATCTTCAATTGACTAAACTTAAAAATTGGGACCATTTTTTTCCGATTTGATGGGTAAAGAATTCAGGTTTGAACCCCGCAACATCTATTTCAGCCTAAGTAGTCGAATAGTTCCACTAGCTTTCACACAATATGGCTGAAAGTCGAGTACATAAATCTGTACTTAATAAAAAAGTTACGTTATTATTATGTATTGATAGTTCAACTTTTATAATTATTTTGTATCATACCTAGTTAGGCATTTTTCACTCTAGATGTGTTTTCTGCTCATTTAGAATTATCTTTGATTATCAGTTGTCTCAAAGGATATTTAACTTCTTTTTTTACGACTAAGCGTAGTCTTGAATGGTTAACACTGATCTAAAGATGGATTATTTTAAAAATTTATCCAACAGAAATCCAGCATTCTTTCCTTTGATGCTATTTTTTAAATTAAGTATTCAAGAGTTATCTACAAAAATAGTCAAACGTAAGTTCCGTATATGTTAATACTTATATTCAAAGTTTGTATGTAAAAAAGGTGGGGACTCTTCATTTTGTCACGTTTAAAGGATACTTTTTAACGACAAATAGCTTTGTCAAGACCTGATAATTTCAAATGACATAACCATTTTTTGTAATAACAATATTTCAGTAATTTGTCGTCATTTCATTTTATTTGTGTGTGGGCTCCAATACTGCCTGGGTGCCTAGATCGAAGCAGATGATTCTCTTAGGGATCACAGCTGCAGCGTTTGACCTAAAGGTCTAATATCCACAAGGCAGTGGAGCAACGTCAGGAGATGCTATTCCATGGTAACTGGTGGCCAATAATTCGTTCATACGTCATTTGTTCCCCCAGGATACTGGAGCCCATGTACACCATTGATTTGGAACCAGGATTTTCCAGCTCCCCTAGGTGAATGTTCCGTATCTACGAACCCGGTTAAAGCGCCGAACATTCGCTTTTTGTCCTCTCAATTTCGTAAACAACACCCCCACCTCGAGAATGCAGTGAGTAGGAATTCTCTGGCAGTGGTTGTATGCACGTGGCCATGTGAGAGCATTTCGAGAGGGAGAGCTGACTCTCCCCACTCTCAGCCGTATCAGGGCATTTCTTACCTCTTCACATTATCATTATTATGTATCTGGTGCCCCTTTGTACTGATATTTATGCGTTCGAATAAATAAATTAATATTAGTATATTCATAATATCTTATTAAGTAAAATAATGGATTTCAAAAATTAGGCAACATTTTGTGAGTCGTTTTATTTTTAGTAATTAAATAATTGTTTTCGATTGAGATCATGAACCGATTGATGTTAGACCACCATTTAAAACCTGGAAGCCCCATTGTGTGACTCCTCAGCATTGCGCACCCACAATCCCGCCTGTGGCATTCTAACCCAGGGCCTTTGGTTTCGCGCGCGAACGCTTAACCTCTAGACCACTGAGCCGACCGGCATCCAATGGTGTTAATGTCTAACCTCGAACAACTCATGAAATTGCTCGACCATCTTCTACTGTACTGAGGTAGATACCTGACACATATTGGCTCCATTGGTCACGATTTCTCACTAGAACTCCGAGGATTCTCTCACGAAGCTAGTCAATAGTGAGCACATGATAATTATCAGTATGAGGTTGTGGAGATTATTGTTTCTTAATATCAATAATACTACTTTCAAGTAGACTACTGAAGCTTGACAAAATTATTTTCTACTTTGCGAAAAAGAAATACAAAGAATTGACTCATACAGTGTTTCGAAATATCAGAAATTTAGTTTCCTACTTATTAGTTAAATATAAATATGGATCTTTTTTAATTATTCTGTTCACTTAGTGACAAATTAGTTTTGTTGCTTCATTCGACGTTTACTTTGTTAAAAGAGAAAGATTACTGAGCAAATATTAAAACAAAAACTGATCTACTTTCATATCTTTCTTAATTGTCAATATTTTAATTAGATAAAGATCGAAACTTCATTCAATTCTTGTCATGGAAATCCTGCAGAAATACAACAAATTGATGATTCAATATTTGATGATCCTCTTGGTAATGATGATAAAGATGTCAGAAAATTATATGTAAGTGTCATTGTTTATTTGTGTTAAAACTTCAAAGTACTTTCATTATTAAAATCTCTGTCAAATTTTTCTATCCATTTCGTTTACTCGCCATCATTACAACTTTAAATTTCCCTACTACTTTAATTATTGATCTGAATGATGAAGATACTTCAAAATGTATAGATTTTACAGAGTATTTTTCATAGGTCTTGTTAATATTAAAGTAATATGCTAAGTGCATACTGTTATTGAATAACTTATGTCTTCACTGTAGTAGGTTACATCTGTCCACTTCAGTCTCATTATTGTTACAGTATTAATAATTTATCAGGAATTATCTTCTAGCAATGAGCCATTGTTATATCTATATATACATGGATCCAGTTGGTAGGCACTGCAAAAAATATACTTACAACTAACAATTCTATATCTTCACTATATGAATGAAGACGTATAAAAGGACTCTCAATAGGCATTTTCTGCTTGCCTATTGCCTTACAAAAATATAAATATGCATTCTGTTCTTAGAAAAAATTTCAAAATTTCGTTACGTACTTCAATAATATTAATAATAATAAACGTATCTGTGTTGGTTATTGATATTATTTCGATAGGTCTGTAAGAGTATTGTGGTAAGCAAGAATACAAGCGGTGATAATCAAATGTATTCGAATAGAAAATTACAGATCCGAAAACCATACAGTAAATACTTTATAAGCAAAATGTCAATCAACTGTCTCAGACTTGATTGTTCCTTCGTTTCCACACCAACTACTTTATGTTCTTATTCTATTCTCTTCGATCTTCTTAACATTCTGCCACCAGGCATTTCACTTTTGATCGGTGACACATACTACTTATATTTATTGATATCAGTAGTTCACACTAGCGTATGAACTAATCACACATATTGTGCGGTTAAGTCATCTAGTCTTTATATTCTATAAACTGTCGTCTTTTAAAAAAATAGTTTGCCTAATCATCAGTCATGCTGACAGTCAGTAATGTTTCCAAAAACTTAATCATATTTCAATGATTGAGATCATGGGTTAATTGAAGCCAGACTACCATGGAAAACCTGGACAGCCGTTTCGTCTTAGTATGGGACTATTCGACAGTGCGCATACACTCAACAAAACCATTTCTGATGATAATCAACATATTCTCACTATTAACAGTCTCCAAGAGGTATTTCCTAGAGTTCTAGTGAGAAGCAGTGATCAATGGAGCTCAACCGGGTCTTTTGTGAGATAGTAACTCACTGAAAAAAATAGTGGACGGTGGCTCAATTTCGTGGATTAATTGAAGTTAGACATTAACACCGTTGGATGCCGGCCGGATCAGTGGTCTAAATGTTAAGCGTTCACACTCAAGACTCATAGGTTCTGTGTTGGAATCTCGTGAGGCGGAATCGTGGCTGCGCACTGCTGAGGAGTCCCATACTAGGACGAAACGATGGTCTACCTTCATCTAACTCATGATCTCAACCGTTGAAATTACTATAATATCCACAAAAGACCCTTCTGATATTAATCATATTTCTTTACTATTTTATAGAAGAAGAAAAATTTTGTGAAACAACAACACATGAAAAATTATCCTTCAAAACTAAATTCACGTAAATCTTATAAAAAACAAAACTTTACTAAATTTCCATACAAAATGAAACAAGATAATTTACAAATGTCTAGTACAACATCTAATCTTACAGAACCTGTTATATCTGAATTATCTAAACCTGGTTTACATCCATCATGGCAAGCTAAACGATTAGAAAAAGCAAAAATTATGGAACTATGTAAAAGTTCAACAAAAGAAGTAAAACGTATTATATTTGATGGTTAAATGATTATTACAAAAACAAAACAACTCAATTATTGATTTAATATTCAACTTACTGTATACAGTTAATTGATAATTCTGTACATTTAATAGTGATAATAATGATTTTATCCACTGAATTATTGCATATACACTCAGTGAAGATTCCTACTATTTGTCTTTATTACCAACTAGGTGTATCTAACATTTCTTTAGTGTTTGTTTTGTCTTTATGGCCTGCTAGTTATCACGTAATCTAATCACCAATCAAAATACGAATTATTCGCTCTTGTACTGTTCTAAACCAATGAAGTTCGTTCGGTCTGATCAGTGTAGCGTCCTATTTGGTCCGTTGCTCGCCTAGCCCGTCCAATCGAGTCCAAAATGCTAATAACAGCCTCCACTATGCGAATCATTTATTTCAGACGTACTGTGTTTATATATCAACTAAACAGACCGCAACGCACCATAAAATAAGAAATAACATTCGTACACAATAAAGCCAAAATATGGCTGTGAACGTGAGGCATAGTAATTAATAAACTGAGTATAACTTGAGAACAGTAAATTGTACAGTAATAATCTATAAGTCAAAATGAAGCTTATAATAAGGGGAATATAGATATACATAATCTAATTACTGAGTAGTTATACCATAGGAATATATAGATAATATTTGTCCACTAATAGGTCTCAGAAGTTGTTCGTAATTTAATCTTTGCTACGATATAACACTATTCATGTCTTTTCTTCTTGAAAACTCACACTGTTGACATGAAAATTGCAACTGTTGTTTTAGTGAGTTGTTTGTTTGTTTATTTTTTGAGGGTGGGGTGGAAATTTATCAAAATCTTTTATTGTACGGATTTTCCGAATGTTGAATCATTTAAACATTGTTAATCAGCTTTTGTCAAAAATGGTATAATCCTTCGTTAAGGATGATAGTCTATGAAAACTTTTGTTGGTAAGGATACATGAGTAAAAGATAGAGAGTTTTCAATTGATTCCTTATCGTAAAGTAAACAATCGTACATTTCTAAAATCGTTAGCAAACACTCAAATTTACATAAAATACGGCGTTTAAACTGTTACTTCATTTAATTAAGTGCGACTATATTATATGAATGAATATGTTACTACATATTAGCTTATATCAGACCATGTCCAATTATCGATGTTGATTGAATTCTATTAGATGTGCAATAAAATGGATTTGGTTAGCTAAGCGTCTCAGTATTAGTTGGCATTGAACAGTGAAGTTTCGAAAGTAATCCAAGTGACTGTTGAGTAATTAGCAGTATTGTATCATTGTCCAGTAATTTTTCACATAAGATTTCATCTATCGGTTCTATAACTTCGGTATTATTAAGTAACTTCAGATTTTATCTACTTAAATCTATCTGATCAAGTAGTAACTAGTTCATAGTCTAGTTTGGTAAAAGGCAATGTTAATTCTACCTGTTATTATCGGTAGAATAATAATCGTTCTAATAAATACCAGGGGTTAGTTTATCAAAAGAACCTTCCTACAGATATTGCTTTTATCAATCGAAATCATCATGACCATCAGACAGGTCAAGAGTGGGCGGCCAGTAGGATCAGACAGCAAAACAGCTGAAGCATTGAAGTCAGGGATAAAAGTAACTGCGAAGATGCTTTACACTACATTCAGGAGGACGAAACAGTGCAGACAGATTGGAAAGAAATATAACTCATCAAGATACCAAAGGAAAGAGATCCTAGTAAGTCTGAGAACTACAGACATCATATTACTATGGTGGTGTATTCTACTTATGACAACAGATATAAGTAGTATGTAACGCCAATCGGAAGTGGAAACCCCGGTAGCAGAAGGTTAAGAAAATCAATTTGAAAAGAAAATAGCAAGGAATCGTAGCTCGGAGGAGTCATGTAAAATTCGAAGGACGAATGATGGAATTTTGCAAATGAAGTATTCAATGTATGCTTCTCATGCTTCACCAAGAGATTCTGTAATTTTGTACTAAAAATACATGGGTTGTCCCTACCTGAGCGTTCGTTCATAACACTATCAGTACCAAAAGGAGTTTCGGACAAAGTGCTGTTGAACCCAATACAAGATTCTGTAGACTCAGAACTCCAAAACCGACAAGCCGGCTTTCGTGAGCATCGATCATATGCCGACCGAATCGCGAAACTACGGATCATCCTTAAACGATCAATTGAATGGAATTCGTCACTATACATTAAATTCTCTGACTATAATATGACGCTTGACAGTATGGATAGGAGAGTCTTTTTCGGCATTGTAGTGTACCTGAGAAAATCGTCAACATTGTACTGAATTCATGCGACGGACTACACTGTAAAGTCGTTTATGAAGAGCAGCTCACTGATGCATTTTAAATGACGACTGGTGTCAGACAATGCTGTTTAATCTAGCCCTTTCTCTTCTGGTGGTTGGCTTGCTTGTGATTACTTCCACATCTCAAGAGAAGCACAAAATACATTGGACAGCTTTGATGTAGCTAGATGATTTGAACTTCGCAGAGGAACTAGTTCATCTATCCCATACAGAGTAATAAATGCACATAAAGAATTAATATGGCAGTTCTTGGATTTCGGTGCGGAGCTTGTTCATTCATATGGCGAAATAACATTATGGTATTACAGTTAATATCAGTTAGTGATAAAAACTAACTCTTGCCCATAACCGTAACTTTTAAATATAATTATTGGTCCTAGTGAGTGAATGAAGTCTTTCAATACCACTTCTGTATTGCTCCAAGGTCGTCCACAAATTATAGTCTCGCCTTTCAGGTATTAAATATAAAATAATCTATCAAAAAATAAGGGTATCGTATCAGTTAACGCTTATCAAAATAGCCAAGTGTTTAATGGTCTTAGACGTAATGGTAATGGATAGCAATATTTTGATAGAAGACATGTAAAGGATAATTTTCTACTTCACGAATATAAATGATGTGAACAATATGATAGTAATTGGACCTGACGATGTATGAAATTAAGTACGTGTTAATATTGTGATAGAATAAGAGACTGAACTTGACTATTGTTTACAGGTAGATCATTTTTGATCTGATGAATTACTGTACCTTCAGTTGTGCACAAATTTCTGATCCAAACCTTTCAACCAGTTCATGTGACTCGGTAGATAATCTCGAACTATGATTTACTTGACCATGTGTCATAAAATAATCCCCTATTTTCCAAGTATATCTTTATTGATGTCTTCAAATTGGTATATAACATTTGATGTTTTTGTAGTTAAATTTTACACATATTGTTCATGTTAGTTTCTGTTCGATCAGCTAGGTATATGTGATAAAACTTTATCCATTTCCAAGGATTCATATCAAAGTAGTTTGATTTCTGTAGAATCTAAGTTATTATATATAAAGATGGACTACAACTAGCAGTAAGATCTAGGAATTGCAATCAGTAATACTTCGGACTCATCAGCTCGACATAAAAGCATTTCAGTATCGATGTTTACTTCGAGGCTCAATACTAGTTAATTTATTAGCGAACGCACAATGCGTTATCCACTGAACTACTAAATCCAGATAGTAATTAACTTATGAAACAAGTTTGAAAAGGCTTGAATTATCCCGTTGCTTGGTATTCATTACTTACTTTTGATTAGTTTTAGTTATCATAAATAGACTGGATTGTTTCGAATCAAATATCATGTTATAAGTTTCTAAAGGAGAGATGGATTATGCGCAGCAGAGGAAACTAGGATGCGCGTATCATCATATGTTGAACACAATGGTCATATCGAGTTCATACGCACATACTACCTGAGTAAATACCTCTTGAAGCCAGTCACTAATGAGTATACGATTACTAGAATCACAGAAGGGTCCAGTGCTTCCAGGTTTTTCATGATGTTCTAGGTTCAATTAACTCATGAATTCAAACATTGAAATTACTATAATATCCACGAAATCCCTTCTCTGATTATAAAAATATGTTTCATCCATACATCGATGCCGACGAATAATCACAGGAGAATCAAATATGGCAAAACCTGAGTTCGCAAAATATTACTCATTACCTGAGTTAATATATTTCACAAAAGAAATTAATAATGTGAGCAGCAGACAGGGACTGGTTGATGATTTTATAAGTAAACAGACACATACATGCATACCTGGTAACAATATGACGCTCAAGCATATTATATACAAAGACATGAATGAAAGGAATGTATTTACCGAAAATCAGATGTTCTTATGAAGAGAATAGAGTTATTAGGATCATAAAGATGACTCAGTGGTCACACACTGTCTTAAAATCTGGAATAAGCTCGCACATGTTTCGTAACAGAGATGTCACTGCACAACAAGGCACACAAAAATTTCCATGATTTTGTTGGTGAGAGGGATAGACGTTATCAGAAGGTGCATTAAAATAAACGACATTTAAGTGACATTTGTTGTCGATCACTTGTCAGCCAAAAGTATTTAATGTTGGTTACCTACTCACCGTAATACTGTGTAACATGTATTATTACCGTAATTTAAAAATAGACCGAAATTGAAATTTTGTCAATATTCTATTTATGCTTTTACTTGGACCCCAATAGACGGTTTTGTATTTTGTTGAATTTAAACCACGTATAGACGGATAGCGATCAATTGAGTGTGTGTGATCTGCAATAACAGAAGGCCAGCACATGATGTGGTAAAGGATTATATTTAGTACTTGTACTTACTTACGCCTGTTACTCCTCGTGAAGGAGCATAGGCCACTCACCAGCATTCTCCATCCAACCCTGTCCTGGGCAATCCTTTCCAGCTCCGTCCAGTTGTAATTCATCCTTTTCATATCTGCTTCTATTATCCGACGCAATGTGTTCTTTGGCCTTCCTCTTTTTCGCCTCCCTTCAGGATTCCAAGTTAGGGCTTGCCTCGTGATGCAGTTTGACGATTTGCGTAATGTATGTCCTATCCATTTCCATCGTCTTTTCCTAATTTCTTCTTCAGCTGGAAGTTGGTTTGTTCTCTCCCACAGAAGGCTATTGCTGATGGTATCCGGCCAGTGGATGTTGAGTATCTTGCGTAGGCAGCTATTTATAAATACTTGTACTTTCTTGATTGTGGTTGTTGTAGTTCTCCAAGTTTCAGCTCCATACAGTAGAACTGCCTTGACGTTCGTATTGAAGATTCTCACTTTGATATTGGTTGAAAGTTGTTTTGAGTTCCATATGTTCTTCAATTGTAGGAATGCGACCCTTGCTTTGCCGATCCTCGCCTTTACGTCTGCATCTGAACCTCCTTGTTCATCGATGATGCTTCCCAGGTATGTGAAGGACTCTACATCTTCCAGAGTTTCGCCATCAAGAGTGATTGGATTGCTGTTCTCCGCCTTGAATTTGAGGACCTTGGTTTTCCCTTTGTGTATGCTGAGGCCTACTGATGCAGAGACTGCTGCTACACTGGCTGTCTTCATCTGCATCTGTTCGTGTGTACGTGATAGGAGGGCTAGGTCGTCTGCGAAGTCCAAATCGTCTAATTGATTCTGAGCTGTCCATTGTATTCCGTGTTTTCCTTCAGATGTTGAGGTCTTCATAATCCAGTCGACCACCAGAAGAAAGAGGAAGGGAGAGAGTAAACAGCCTTGTCTGACTCCAGTCCTTACTTGGAATGCATCTGTCAGCTGTCCTCCATGCACTACTTTGCACTGTAGTCCGTCGTATGAGTTCCGGATAATGTTGACAATCTTCTCAGGAACTCCGTAGTGTCGAAGAAGTTTCCATAATGTCCTCCTATCTACACTGTCGAATGCCTTTTCATAATCAATGAAGTTGATGTATAGTGATGAGTTCCACTCAACTGATTGTTCGACGATGATCCGTAGTGTTGCAATTTGGTCTGTGCACGACCGATCCTTACGGAATCCAGCTTGTTGATCTCGAAGTTGGGCGTCTACTGCATCCTTCATCCGGTTCAGCAACACTCTGTTGAAGACTTTCCCTGGTATTGACAGTAGTGTAATGCCTCTGTAGTTTTCACATTTGCTCAGATCTCCTTTCTTTGGAATCTTGACGAGGTGTCCTTCTTTCCAGTCCATCGGCACTTGTTCCTCCTCCCAAATCTTTTTGAATAGAAGGTACAGCATGCTTGTGGTTGCTTCGATGTCTGATTTCAGTGCTTCAGCTGGTATGTTGTCGGGTCCTGCTGCTTTCCCGTTCTTGATTTGTCTGACGGCCATTCTAATTTCTTCCGTCGTTGGTGGGTTGACATCTATAGGAAGATCTATGTGTGCTGCTTCGATGTCCGGTGGATTCATTGGAGCCGGCCTATTCAGGAGTTCCTCGAAGTATTCCACCCATCTGTTACGCTGTTGTTGAATTTCGGTGATTGGCTTGCCTTCTTTGTCTTTGACCGGCCTCTCTGGTTTACTGTATTTCCCTGCTAGTTTCTTCGTTGTATCGTGAAGCTGTTTCATATTTCCTTCTCTAGCAGCTTTTTCTGCCGTCGTTGCTAGTTCTTCCACGTATTTCTTCTTGTCGGCTCTAATGCTCCTCTTCACTTGTTTGTTTGCTTCTATGTATTCAGCTTGTGCTTGGACTTTCTCTGTTCGTACTTGTACACGAGGTACGAATTTGAATAAAGTACATAAGCAAATCAACAACAGAATTGAATTAGTCACAATAACCCTGATCGCCCATGATGAGTACAAATAATGATAATGCATATTTATTAAAATTTCAAAGGTGAATTTAATAATAATTATTAAGAAGCTACTTCTTAGAATACACGTATTAATGATTGTGTTCGAGCAATAATCGAGTAGCAATAAGCAACACATGAAATAAAATTTGAACACCAATTAAATATGATACAACGGTGTAGTGGACGAGAACTCAAATGGGGGCAACCGAATGTGTTTGGACGCAAAATTACAAAACATTTTAGTAAAATCTAAGAGCCATAAAGGAAATGCTTAATTTGCAAAATATCAACCAATTGTCTCAAATTCGACTGTTCCCTTTGCAAATGTTAATCAATCGTCTCATAATTCACAGTTCCTTCATTTCCACAGCAGTCATTCTCTGTTCGTGTTCTCTTCGTTCTGCTGCCAGGTATCTCGCTTTCGATTGATGATAAATACTACTTATATCTCTCGACATAAATAGCACACACTACAACAGCATGGCATAAGTGATTAATGAGCTGGTTTTTGAAACAGTAATATAATTATTCATATGTTTGAGTGTCGCTGTCACATTGTATATAAACAAAACATCTTTGGTTTATACGGCGAAATTATAAAGATGATGAAAGCTTACAGTGTATGAGCTTAGCGTTATGTAATATTGTATAATGTAATATCGTAGACTGTATGGTTGTGATGAATAACTAGTACATCTGCTGTACAATTAATTATTTCCTGTTGTGTTTGAATCTTTTATGACAACACAAAAGAATTTCACTATGCGTACTTTAGATTCGAGTCCTTGCTTGTGTCTTGTCAAAGTTTTGGACTAATTGTGATCAGTAATAATTCGTTAGAATATTTTAAATTCAGTACCTTATTATTGTATTGACGATACTATCAGAATGACATACTTAGTCAGCGATAATAAAATCTACGATGATGCCTTCAATGCTGGTAATAATGATCAAATGAATAAGGTTTGAAGACAGTGATGTATGTATGTAATAGGTCAATCAGCCATAGAGGATTAGAATGGAAAACGTTTAGTGACAACAAACACATAATGAAGGAAACGAGGGATGTTCTCCGTTCTGTCGTGGAGGGAGGCAAAACAGTAGGATGTATCGCGTGAGAAAAGGGGGGGAAGATTTATTTTGGTATGTACATACATATGAACAAAATAAAAATGAGTTATACATCTCTATGCGGCACATGATGTGTACAGGAATAAAAATTCTACATTGTGCTGTAAGTAAGCACCATACATATTATATAGAAAGACTAGTTTATAAAATCCTTTTTGAACGATTGGCATGTCTGTAGTGACCTGCTTTTATCAAGAGAGCGCGATTGGTTTGATGGAAACAATCATTATTCAACCAACTGCACCAGTGATTGTTTTACCGTGCTTTTTTGTTTAACTGTATGTAATGTTTCGAATTATTTGAATTATAGTACGAAATAAGAGTCCTAGAAATAACGCAATTGAATTAAGAAGTAAGACACAAGCACAAACGAATGCATTGTATTTGGAATTCGAAATCGAGCATTCAACAAGTACAAAGGTATCATTAGTTCATTCAAACGCCACACTGTACTCAAGACATCCATTACTCCTCCATTATTCTTTCGTTGACTGTGACCTTGTATGCTCGCAAGTTCGCCTATTTATTCCACTTGTATTTTTCTTGACACGATCTTGGTATACTTTCGATACCAAGAGATCGCCAACGAATAAATCTGGTTACAATCTCCTTTCGCCTTCTGATTTTCTGGTATGCGCTCGTCTTGCAGTGGTGATCATAGTCAAACGCGACTCGACGCCAAACCACATGTCTATCAGATCTGGATGTTCTCTATGAGACGGTAACAGACACTGGTATAGATACTGCAGATGATTCGGTTGATGCTGTAGTTACTCAGAGCCACAATTTTGTCATCCTTCGCATCTTACTTGGTCAGACCTCAAGTTTCGAACCTTTCTATATAATCCTCAAAAGCTTCAGAATTTGAGTGTATGTTCAACTAATCCCTCACAGGCTCCATACCAACGGCAATGTGAAAATTATAAGTATTTGAAATGAGACTATAACCAAACAAGTATAAGATAGTAAGTCTCGGATTTTGAGGCTAAATTTATTCATCCGTTTGACTAAATAGAGTTTCGGTATATTAGCTTATCCCAGTTCGTGATGAAAACAATGAATCTGATTCTCAAACTTAACCATCAACTATAAATCATAACTCTAATTCCTCACACTGGTTCATAACCCTCATTTGGTCCTAATTATTAGTGGACAGTCTCAATATCACTGCATCGCCACTCAAATATCAGCCATAAATTATAGTTTCACCGTATTTGAATTAATATCCCACTCAAAACGTCTTCATAGGTGACAGGTATGACAAGATAGGTACAGTCAGCATATATAGCCAAACACGCTTTTTATGGATGCCAATGAGATAAAAGAAAGATTTCTACATTACAACCTGTCTGAGTGTGGTGTTTTTATGAACCAATGATTCTTTTGTATTTGGTGTTCGCCTGATTTCGGATTCTAAATACAATATGTTCATTTGTGCTACCCTACTTCTACAGATTCTAAATTGCACTATTTCGTGAATTCCTAGTTCACATACTAGTTCAAATACTCCTACTTATCTCATTGGCATTGCGATGGAGCCTGTGTTGGAATAGTTGGACATACATTCAAATTCTAAAGCTTTTAGAGATTATGATGGAAGGCTCGAAATCTGGAGCATGACAAAGGAAGATGTTGAGTATGTTATTAATAACGCTCACTTACATTCATCGGATAGGAAGCCTAGAGCTTATTAAACATTTTGGCATTCTCAGAAAAGCCTATTTCGCTTCTTTTATAAACTCTCAATGAACAACTACCAGACCATGTAAAGTGTACAAATTTCGAATACTGTAAAGGAGGAATAGTTCATGAAATGACTCGTTAGGCCATAACTAATTCCACGACATTACTACGTCACCTCAATCCAATGCATACTCATGTTGAGGCAGATAACAATTCATTGAGGTGTTGTGATGCAGGTCAC